TTTGATCTAGTATTTTTGAAAAAAAAAATTCAAAAACAAATAAATTTATAGTGAAAATCCTGAAAACACTCAATACATGGAAGAAAAAGTGTTTAAAATTTTTATTTAAATAAGATTCTAGAAAATAAAAATATAATCTTCTAAAAACTAAAGTTTTCAAAAAAAAAAAAAATCACATTATAAAATTGATAAACTCTAAAAATGAAAAAAAGAATTTTAAAATATAAAATCGTAAAAACAAAAAATTCTAGAAAACAAAAAATAAAAATTCTGAAGAAATTAAATTATAAAATTTCTAGATAAACGATAGTTATAAAAGATAGAAATAAAAATGGTTCAAGATCTAAGTGATTATTTACAAAAATATTTTAAAATAAATATTTAATGGCACCTATAAAAGCATTCTCATTCCACGTCATTAACTTTTGTTTCATATATTTTGAATTCAGTTTATTACTTGTTTTCATTTAACATTTGTAGCGAAAAAAATATTGTAAAATTCAACAATTTTCAAATGTATATATTATTTGATAATATATTAAATATTTTTTTTATTTTCACTGATTAATCAATTTTCATGAAATAAAATGTCATAAAATAATTTCTCAAACATCCAAATCAAACGTGTTTTCTAATTTTCTAATTTTAAAAATAATTTTTCAAAATGATAACCAAATATGTTTTTAACGATGTTAAAACAGAAAATTAAAAATAAAACTGAAAATTGAAACACAAATCAAATGGGCCTTAAACGTTCACATTCATGGTTTTAAATACAGACGAAAGTACCCTTAACTTTTCTTTTCTTTTCTTTTTTTCTTTTTTTTAAATTCCTGATAGATCGCAAAATTCTTCTTTTTTCCCCTCAATTATAAAAATCATTCATTTCTCTTACTAAATTCAAACCTAAGATATCTGTCCATTTGTCGACATCTCACACTTGAAGATTGTCATTGTGCTACCTTCGTGATCTCGTTTTCCATGAGAAAATATACAAATCGACCTCAAATTGATTAGTAATTTTCATTTCCCTTTTCTTATCTATTATTTTAAAATTTTCAATTCGATTGTCAAAATTGGTCTCTTATTTTAGGGACAACAAATGCGACACATTTTAGAGGTGGAGAAGTTGAGAGAGTGAAGATTTGGAGGGCTTTGTTGGAA